ATGGGGTGCTTTGTACTACATTTTTACATTAACTCAGCATTTCAGAATAGAACTAGTAAGAAATTATATCAATTAATATACAGAACTCCAAGCTTTTATCCCATTGACATTAATTTTCTCGTTAATCATTTTATCCTTTTATTAAGAATTATTTTTTTTTTACTTTTTATTTCGATTCACTATAAAAGCGTGTGTTTTTTAATTTTTTTTAAAAAAAATCTATAATTTTTATTAAGTTGTATAAACCACTTTATGTTATTGTTAATTCTAAAGCAATTACGAAATACAATTCTTATATAACTTGTGACTGTGTAAGAAATACAAAAAAATATATAAAGACTTATAGACCGTTTAAGGGCGTGTATAAAAAGCCTTTGATGCTGTGAAAGGCGATTAATTGTAAGTCATTTCAAACTGAAACAGCTGAATACAAAAACGGATTAGGAATAGTTGCAAGAAAAAAATATCTAAAAAGTATTTAAACAGATGTGAAAATGATCGAAAACAATTTTATTATCGGAAAAAGTGTTGGTAAATCAAACTAAGAAACTTAATTGGTTAAACAGGATAGCTACAGCAAATAACTGTTTCAGCTTCTTTGAAATGCTTCGAATTATTCAGTATTCAAAAGCTTTTATAATATCCATGAAATAGTTAAGATTCTAAAGAAAATTTTTTAAATAAACGATCTAAAATAAATAGTAGTGCATTTAGTATCGTTCAAGGGTTGTAGTAGATATTTAATTTCCTCTAATAGGGCTGCGTATTAGTATTTCTACCTTTGCAGACCTAGTACATTCCCCATGAGCTGGTATCACTGTTTAGTGCGGCACCATTTAGGCGATACCAATTTCCCCAAGTGATTTTGACGCCCAATTTTTTCCTCAGAGGAAGGCACTTGAGCTTTGTGGATGTAAAATTTGTACTTAGTAGATATAAAATAACTGAATTCGTCCTATAAAATTGTCATTAAAAATTGTCTAATAAAAGAAAAGCGTTTTAACTTAACAAGAGGGTTATTATTGGAACTTATAGATATTTTAGTCAATAGATTTATTTGAAAAATAGCATTCAACTTTTGGTTTAACTAAAATCAGTAGAAAGTCGTTCTTGTTTATGTACAGTACTTAAAGATATCGCCACTTTGTCGGCAGAGATTCGAATTAATTTAAAATAAATCTCAAATATTCCCAATAATTCTAATTTTTTAAAAATTTCCAATGATATTATTAGTTGCTAGCTTTATTTCAATCTTTTGACTGCAGGAATTCTCTGTAACACGAGAAAAAAAAGTTTTCCTCTTTATCTATTCATTTTGATCGAGAAAAGGCGTGATTTTGATTTATTATTAATGTCATATTTCGAAACTACTTGTGAGCTATTGGCAAAATGCCCAAAGGAACCGAGCTCATCCAAAAGAGTTTAGAGCTACAAATCGGTCTCCCGGGAACCAACTATCTCCGCATTCGTCCTTTATTGAACAAGAATCTTACCGTTTGCATTTTTAACAATAGCACATAAAGGTAAATTTGCATTACTCATTGGTATTTTCTTAGTTTCAAAAATACAGTTCTAAATAACAGATAAGTAGTAACAACTTGTTAAGATCGAAATTATAAAATTTCACACAAATAGGAAGAAAATATATTCAAAGTTAAAAAAAAACATGTAAGGTTAAGGAAAGGGTAAAAATTAACATTCGAGTCTGCTTGCAAAGACATCATGAACAAAGAAAATCCTCAATACAAATGCACACACAAACACACACAAAAACCCAAACAGAAATACAAGAAAAAAATAAAATAGAATAAAATGTACCTATATATATATAGTAAAATTAATAAAAGTGAAGAAGTACTAGAACCTACAGTGCTAAAGCAGGAAGAAATTGGAATTCATCAGACACAACAAATGTAGATACAAAAAAGTCTTTGGACTAAACTGGAGACCTATTATGATTTCTAAAGCTATTGCTGAATTAGGCCAGCGAATTAGGGTTAGCAATGCTTTATGGATCTAACCTTCCCCGTACAGCAGAAATTTTTGACATAATAGGGAAAAAAACAACAACATCCAAGTTGAAAAGTTAAGCCTAATACAACACGTGGAAGAAAAACAAGATAATATATTAAAATGAAATTAAGAAAAGAGAATAATAATCAATCTCTCAAGGAGAGGAATAATAATAATAATAATAATAATATATATATATATATATATATATATAAACTCAGGTAATTGTCAAGTTAGGGAAACGACACCTGAGAAGACATCCCTCTGCAAACTTCCCATCACGCCAATGGCCTTGACAAATTTAACATGCATGACACTCTCTACACGGCGTATCTTCTAGGTTCGAGTGCATGTTTTGAAAGAAATAATATACCAGCCAAGTGTATTGCAACAAGTGATATCCAGCTACCGTAGCCCTCCCCCCGCCAACTTCAAATGGTGAGGAAATACATTTAAAAAAATCATAACAATGCTAAAGTAGAGACGAAAAAAATAATTTTAATGATTATGATATATGTCGAAAATCAAGGAAAATAGTGATATTAATGTATCAACTTAAAATGAATTGGTAATTAAAATATTAATTCTGTTCACACCTAAGTGTGTTCTCTACCGTCCATATGAAACATTCAGGAGAAGCTGAATGACTGTCGGCAATAACGGATATGGGTAGCAACTGCTCTTACTTTGAAACCCACAAGGCCGCGGTAGCTTAGTGGTCAGAGTAACAAACTCTAGGCCGGCGTGTCATGAGTTCGAGCAGCTTAGTACCGCTGAAGACCTGCCGTGTAGGGGGGCAATTCACGTTAAAGCTGTCGAGAGCTCAAAGGTTCACCCGTTGGTGTGGCAATTAGGAGAGGGGGTGCCATCTCAGGTGTCGTCCTCGTCACTTGACCATGGTCCAAAATTTCGAAATTCGCCAAAAGCCCCCGTGTAGCTAAATAAGGGGATGTTAATATTCACTTGTTCACTCACTCTCGATCCCCACAATCACCTTAATTAATCTTCACTCACCCTCTTGATATTAAAAAATTAGTCGAAATATGTGTGGTCCGTAGTATATTTTAAAATTCATGATACTCACGAACATTGTTAATGCATGTAGAGAAATAAATTTTTCGTCAACATCTTATAAATTTATCGTAAGAACTCCTGAGACCCTTCGTGTATTTTGCATAAATTTTACGCTGTTGTAAATAAAAATTGCTATAAAATTGGAAAGCTGCATTATTCTGATTTGTACAAACGAGAATAACTAGATCCATGAACTAATTCGTAGCTCATGATATGTGGATAATTTTAGTTTTGAGACTTAATAACTCTGTTGTGCTATTTTTTTTCTTTCTATATGCTACGGCTGTAGCTGAATATACATCATTCCATTTGAATATTTAATTTTCCTTCAAAAAAGCACCACTACAAGAGGGGGAAAACGTGACTTCTATAGTTTAAGCTCTTAATACATCTTTAACGTAAAAGCTTATTTTCTCTTCCTCTTTCCTCAATTATCAATGTAAAGCTCACCAGAAAAATACTTTAATATATTTTTTTTCTGACTAATTTTTGGTACAATGCGCATAAACCGGAATGCTATTCTGAGGCCACACAAATATTGTGTAATATAGATGAATAAAAAAAATTACTTCATATGACTTTAAATTTTCTGAAACGTGATCGATTTAGTAAGGATGATTGGATAAAACTATTTACATTGTCATAAAAAAGGATAACCTTAATAGCTGCCGTAATTCTCACAGCAGCTGAATAAAACTGTGATTTCACTTCCCTTTTAATGGCACACACGGAACTAAATTACAGTGTTAATGGATTACGTTAATGAGTTTCTAAAAAAATTTCCTTCTTATAGATGCAGTTTTTTTCCCTAATCTGATTTCTCATAACAAAAAAAAAGTCTTAAATCTGTATTTCATAAAATTCTGCTTGGAAAAAAATTTCCATGTTTCAAAGCTTTATAAAAATGAGTTCTTCAATGTTAGATGTTTCTCTCAAACATTTAATGCTAAAAAGTATTTTTTCAAAATTCCAATTTGTGTAGTTCACAATCTCCCTCTATTGTATATTGATTTATATGCATATCTTGCTCAAATTTTCAATCGTTAATAAAATATTTTCTACTCATTCCTTCAAGCTCAAATACATTTTTTAAACTTGTAGTGAATAACACTTGATGTTAATACAGTTTTTACAAATATTAACTCTTTGGCTAAATTTAATTAATGAAGCAATAGTAACAAAAATAATAGTCTTACACCAAATTTAAAAGGAAAATCTCTTGTTATGGCCTTGTAGCGCAAAAAATATCGCGTTGGACTTCTAATCCAAAGGTCGTGGATTCGAATTCCGCCTGAGAAGGCCTAATTTCTGAGATTGGGATTTCTTTTTACTATATTACCGAGTGTTTCTATAAGAATAACGGAGTTTTATAGCTTTATAGTATTTATCTCATATAAATTACAAGTATTATTCATTGAATGAAAGAGTAACTGAAACAGTTTTACCAACAAGTTTACAAATGTTCAATGTGAGCCCCATTCGTCATATGGCACAAATCAAATCGAAACGCGAGTTCATCCCAAACTTTTTTCAGTGTATCTGAGGGAACTTTTGCAACGGATTCTTCAATCATGTGTCTTTAGTCTGAAAGGTCAGCTAGTAGTGGAGGAAGGTACATACAATCCTTTATGAACCCCTCAGATAAAAGTCACATGGCGTCAGATCGGGTGAACGTGGATGCCATGTGATACAAGTTTTATCGGGAGGCTCTTTGCGGTCAATCCATTGGCTGGGTACAGTGATATTTGACCAATCGCAAACTGAGAGATTCTAGTGAGGCGGTGCACCATCTTGCAGCCAAATGAAGTTATTTGGTCCACTTACTTCCAATTGAGAAAATAGCCATAGTTGCAGAGCATCAAGATAAGCAGAACCAGTTACAGTAGATTACCAGTTACAGCCTTGATTCGTCCCGTACTTTTCCCTTTACAAAGACAGCCAGTTGTTTCAAATTGATGAAACCACCTAAGAATGTTATTATCATTTGGAGGTTGACAACCGAACTTAATACGGAACGCTCGTTGCACAGTAATAGCAGATTCTGTGTTTGCAAAGTGGAGAACACAAAACGCTTTTTGTTTACTAGTCGCTATTTTTCTGCTAGCGCGTTGATCGGCGAGAAAGGGGAAAAAATTAGCACACGTTTCGCGCACACATGCCAGCAAACAAAAGTGTTTTAGTTGCTCTTTCATTCGATGTAGGGATCATACTAATATGTTATACGTAATGAATTCAATAAAACGTTAAAACTCCTATATTCTTTTAGAAACACCCGGTATTTTGTGGAATAATTAAATTTAATTAATGAATATATAGTAACAAAAACAAAATAAATAGTCTAACACCCTATATAGAAAGGAAAATGGGAAATCGCTTTCTATTTTACGACTCATAATAGTGTGATTCTGTCATATGTATATACATATTTATATTAATTGCAATTATTTAGCAAAAAGTGGCACTAAAATAAAAATTTTCTTTGTTGATCTAAGTAGGAACTGAATTAAAAAAATTTTTTGTTTATATTACTTGTTTATTCAACAGATTTCGAAGGTTTTGCACCAAACGATATATAATCGATTTCCAATTCTAAACAGTAAAAGTAATATTGTTATGAAATGCACGAATTGATAAACATAGGTATAAAAAAAAACTCTAACACACGAAAATTTTTTAGAAAATTTAGATTTCTTCCGCCATCGAGCTCTTAAACCTAAAGTTTTCTTCAATTATTTCCAGTAGCTTTTCAAATTGCTGTTGGATAATCACACATCCTTAAGAGGCTACATATATTACTTTGAAAATCTTAAATAATGGTCCAGTTATCCCCTAATATAAAGCATTTGGGGAAAATTATCGATCATTTATACGCAAGTCTTTTTGTATATACCTTATAAGAGTTCATTCCATATGTCTTAAATGGTTTCAAAAGAAATTTGGAACATGTTCTATTTAAACGATTTTTTCCCTGATTCTGGAAGAAAAACACAGTCTTATAATGAAAAAATTACATTTTGGGAGCGAATTAAGTAAATATGTTAAATTAATTAACTACGCCTTAGCAAACAATTTAGTCCCTTTGAGATATAATGTTAGTTTTAATTTTCTCCAACAGAAAAATAAGAAAATTAAGAATCTTAATTTTTTGTCGATAGTTCTATAAAAATACTATTTAATTCAAAAGTTATAAGTTATTATTTTTTCCATATTTTTTAAATATATTTTAAACAAAACTGAAGTGTTGCCACAAGAGATCATAGGCGACATTCTTTTGGAATATTTATTCTAAACTCAGTCTTCACTTTAATAATCCAAAACAATCGCTTATGGCTCAAGCTACCGCATGAAATATAGTTGCTTAAGCAAAGTGATATTCGATCTTAAGGTTGCGACAACACAAGGAGTCATGAAATACTATCTTCACAAGGTAGATGGATAATTATAAATAAATTTAACTGAACAAAAATACACACGCACACATCATTGACAAATAATTTGGTGGAAAAAATCGGTTTTTAAAAATATGTAACGTTTCAAGTAGGATCTCACCGCCAAAAGATTTGAATACTACTATCACACAAACAAATTTAAGGGCAAATTAACCTTTGACTTTCTTAAAAAAGCACAAGACTCTTTTAAATTGTAGAGGAAAAATATTATTGATTATCCTAATTTAAAATTATAGTTACATCATTACTTCAAATATTAATCAGTTAATTTATGGTAAAAAAGGAGTAATGGGAGTTATTTATTATCGTACAAAACATTTGTATGGTAAGTAAAATAGACTATTGGTAAGTAATTGCTGGTCAGTACAGTGGAATGATTTTACAAACGGAATCAGCTCATAAATGTGAAATATAACAAGTACTATAAAAAAATTAAGTCAATTACTACTTAGGCGAACAAAGAAACATTTTATTTTAGTTACTTTTTATTAAATAATTACAATTAATATAAACATGTATATACATATGACAGAATTTCAATCATGAGTGATAAAGTAGAAAGCGATTTTCCTTGCAATTTTTCATTTTCCTTTTTATAAAGGGTTTTGGACTATTATTTTTGTTCGTTTCTATTTATTCATTAGTTAAATTTAATTATTCCAATAAAACAGTATAATAAAAAAAAGAAATCACATTCTCAGAAATTCGGCCATCTCAGGTGGTATTCGAATCCACGACCTTCGAATTAGAAGTACAATGCGCTATCCATTGTGCTACAGGGACACAAGGAGTGATTTTCCTTTTTATACATGTTATCGGACAATTATTTTTGTATGTTATTTATTCATTAATTAAAAAAATGAATTAATTAATATTTGAAAAAACTGTATTAACATCAAGTGTCATCCACTATAAGTTTAAAATAAATGTATTTGAACTTGAGTGGACGAATAAAAAAATATTTTTATTAACGATTGAAAATTTGAACACGATATATATGGGGAGTGTGTTTATTAATAGTAGGAGTTGAAAAAATGAAAAGTTTAAAGAATTTACAATTATTGCAAGGAATTTGTTGCATTGCAAAATGACAAATTGGTAATATATTGACTGTGATAGATCTCCAATGAAATACAAACAGCAGTAAAGTATTTAATAGATTGAATAAAAAAAAGTACAAGACTTGCCATGAAATAGCAAGGCCACTTGCTGAGGTGAACATGAAAGAGCAGCTGAATCAACTGACTTAAAATATTTTGATCTTTCAGGGAGCCAACTAAGATATAATCTAAAACTAAGATGAAGGTTCATGTTGTTTCTACAAGAATTCAAAGTGTTGAGTGACCGCAAAGGTTATTCATTAAGCAAATATCACACTTTTTAATATCAGTATTTCGAATTAAAGAAAGAACACGATTTCTAAAGAGTATTTAAAACCCATGTAATACTTGTCTTAACCCTTCTTCTACATGCTTTTACAATCCCTACTATTAATTCACTCTCTCCCTATATATATATATATATATATATATATATATATATATATATCGTGTTCAAGTTTTGAATCGTTAATAAAATACTTTGAACTTGTCCTTTCCAGTATAAATACATTTATTTAAAACTTACAGTGGATGACACTTGATGTTAATACAATTTTTTTCAAATATGAATTCATTCATCTAATTTTTTATTTCTTAATTTTAAATTTATTTGGCGTTATTTCTACGTTAGTAAGAATTAGCTGTAACAGATGGCTCCAATACGTTTTTCTAACGAAGTAGAAAGTGACTTAATTCTTTTTTTGTATATTACTTGTTGTGAAATAAATCAGGGTAATATATTTCATGCTCTAGATTAAAGGTGGCCAACCCATGGCACGTGTGTCACTGTGCGACAGGGCTGAGTTGTAAGAGTGACACGCGAAAACTTATGGAAACATTAAAAATTGTAATAACAAAAACTAAATTTTTACTGTTTTATTGAAAGGTGTTTACTCTCAGACATTACAAAACATTTAAATTTATTTTAAATATACTTAATTAAATTATAATAGAAAATTATAAAGTAGACAAAACTCCTTCACTGTTACGTTCTTTGGTTTTCCAGAGGAAGTGTATTCGTGAGATTTTCTGGAATATGAGGGAGTGTGTTTTAAAATATCTGAACGAAAACAATGAACTGTCCAGTGCGGGCTTGTGCTTCTCGAGAATGAAGACTGGTTTTGGGATTTAGCTTTTATTACCGACGTATCTTATTTGTGAACACACTTTTGCTTTTTTGTCTCAATTTTGGAGAAGAAAGCGAAATTGATGCACACCTGAAATAACCCTATTTTGTTAGCATCTTCAAAAACTAATCCCAATGTAGATGACTCAGTAAAAAAATCTACAGATTGAAAAACCAGATTAAAAAAGCACTGACTGTTTAATGATTATTTCGAATTAAATTTTCTGCTTTCTCCATTTTATTCTATACCTAACCTAACTGATTGAAACTAAAAAAATAATGTTTAACAATAAAACAAATTCGTGTACTTTTGTCTTATTTATTATATTATTTTTAAATTTCCCTTACTTATATATATATATATGTATAGACTTCCATGAAATATGTGCTGTTTTCATTAAAATTCCATAAGCTCGTAAGTAATATTTTTTTACCTTTTCGTTCGTTTGTTGGAAAAGTTTCAAGTGACACGCATACTTTTTTTTATCAGGTAGCGGCACTATTCCCAAAAAGGTTGGCGATCCCTACTCTAGATTAAAGAGGGGGAAAATGTTTAAAAAATTCTAGTATAAATATGTTATATAAAATATTTATATAAAACAGCATAATGAAAATATCCACCATTATG